GGGTTGAAAGTTCCCGCATAGTGATTTGCCTTACTTGCAGCTCGATCTTCGAGGGCGGATCCTGGCTTAAGGATCGACTTGTGGATGCTTCGACCCGCGGATGGGTTGACGATTGTTACGTCTATGAGAATGGACTTGGTGTAGAGTTCCTCTTCCTTCTCTCTTGCGTGTAATCCTGGGGGGATTGCCAAATCCGTCTTGTATAGCCCCTTTCCCCTACCAGTGCCTGTGGTAAAAGGGGAAGAATCCTCAACGGCGATGGGCATATGGCACTCGCGCAGTGTCTTGAGGACTACTCGAACCAACCTGTTATGGAGGAAGGTTGAGGCGCCGGTCTTGGTGCAGACGAGGGAGTGGGCTCGGCTCAAGCGGTCCTTGCATGGTAACAATGCACCTGCACCGTGTGTGTGTTGTTGCTGTATGCGCGTCTTTTTGTTCTGTATGCGCGCCCGTTGGTTTTGTTGTCCGTTGTGTGACACGCATTTTTTTGTGGCGTTTGCCGTTAGTGTACTGCTTGCCGGGCTTGCCGCGGCCACCTTTCCGTGCCTGGTATCCTCCCACAGGAGGAAGCAAAACAAGCTGTTTATGTTTGCTCAAGAATTCTGGATTATTTTTTCTGCAGGCAACCAAAGAAAAACCAAGACACATGAAACAAATTGGGAGCGCAGGTAAAATGCCGTCTTGCTCACAACGTTTACTTATCGGACTAACCCGTTGCAAACTTCCCAAGATTGCCCTACTATCATTACTATTGTTTCGGCCTCTGGCCTCAACATATCTTACTCCATTGGGCATGTCCGATGACCTACTCCTCCGCTCCCTGGTCACTCCTCGGGTTCCGTAAGGGCCTGAGACACAAACTTTGCTCCTTCACCCCCCACCCTAACGTACACCATGAAAGCCGATGATTTCCACCTTCCGGCTCTCTGGATCTGAATTACCGACGCCCCCATACTTGCTAGGTGCGTGGCCCCCCCGATCCTTCCTGAATGCAACGCATACTTCTGTGGGTCTCTACCCGCCGCACTCACGAGTAACCTGAGGTGTCTCGATGCCTCTGCCCTCGAAATAACCTTCTACTTGTCTTGTGCCCACGATTGCATCAACGGCGCATGACTCCCAAGCTCGGGGTGCAGATCTAACAGATCGAGTAACACCTTCAACGCTACTCCCGATCTTGTGACGGTTGCTCCCAAACGTTTTTGATCTTCTTTTGACGCTCTGAACGTGACTTCCACTTGGCTAGCCTGCCTCCGGTCTGCCCATGCAACCCTTACCGGACCGCAAAAGAAACCCAGGTCTCCTCTTGTCAGACGAAAATCCGAGTGCACGAGCCCCGAGTCGTCCGCCCAGATTTTTGAAGCTCGGCACATCAGCAAGTACGAGAGGGCAAGTCCACACCAGATCAACTTCCCTGATTCTCCCGAATTTTCGACCACGCACTTTCCAGCCTCTAGCATGTTCCATGAAAGGGGATTCCTAACCTTAGGCTTCGCCTGCGTATTGGCGTGGACCCTATCAATGGTTTTCAACATGGCAAGGATCTGGAAATGCGAAGTGGGCAACTCCCATCCTGCGTGCATCTTATGGAAGTACTTGATGGCTGAGAGATACCCGCGGATAGTCTGACTCTGGTTCTTGTGACCGAAACACCGGCAAGCCATGAACACAGACAGCTCACGCACCGCACTTTCCACCCCATCGCTCTCGCGGAGCCACGGGCCCGAACCTCCCCTGCTCGAGCCTCCTTCCACGTGTTCCACATCCTTTGATACACCTTGTTGGTACCACTTCCCAAAGACCCGAAGGTGAGTGCGATGACCAACCGCTCCCCCTCGGCGCTCGTGCCTCCCCGGCCATCCTTTCCCTGAGTTCCTGATATCCAATCATCGGGTATACACAGCGTGAGGAATGCGCACATTTCGAGGTTCCTTCCCAAGGCACGACAAGTTCATGCCGAACCCGTGGATAGCCCCGACTTGGCTTGGAGGGAGAACAGGAAAACTTGGTCGTCCAAACCAACTCTGCCTCCCCCGGCTATCCATTTCATCAAGGCTTCATGAAACAGTGAATGTGAGGCGTGTCCACCGCTCCAGCTTCTCGCTATCTCATTTCGTATGATAATTCGTTGATCGTCCGGAACACAGAACGGTGTCCGACCGCCCCCTCTGCCGTGTCAGATATTTTCTGTTCCTTCGACCATAATGTCCCATACCGAGTCGTCCAGACTTTCTTTCGGCAATTTCTTTTGTAGGATAATGTTGAGCAACGCTTGTTCCCCTACTCCAATATCCTACTGTGTCCACTCTGAGTCTTTTGTGAGCATTTTCACGTTGGCGGCGATCTCATTTTCTTCCCAACGTGAGATCCCGTCCGCAAGTGTGTTCATTCGACCAGGGATGTGCTTAGCCACGTGGCACCAGCCGCAAGAAATTTCCATCCTACCCATGAGTCTCATTATGAGGCTGCGCGCCTGTCGCGCGACCCCCCACACCTGTTGAGTCCAACTGACGGCCGACACGTTGTCTCCACGCATCAACACCGACTGCCCTTCTTCTACAGGTCTGTCTTTCAAGATCATTTGGACTACCCACGCCGTCATGAACATGCCCGCGAGTTCTAACAGATTTTAATGTCTGACGTCTCCTTCTCTTGCGCCTTGCGCTTGAGCTCCGCAGACAACGATGATTCGATCGTGTATCTCCAGAAAGTCTTTAGTTCGGGACAGTAGCCGCCAATCGCTGTGAAGCTAGCGTCTGAGAGGTAAAGGCGTGAGGGTGCTCATTTTACGTGGAGGAAGAACGATGCGCTGAGGGACTCCCCTCGAAGTGCCAGTGACTGATTGAGGGCCCACTTCCAGAAGGCGATATCGCCGTGGAACTCTCTACCCAAGTCCACTAGTCGTCGTGACCGTGTGTGTCGACTGGCTTGCGTATGCAGACCCGATAGGCGGAGCAGTTGCCACACGAAGTACCTACCGGCCCTGATAAAATAAGTGAGGTTCCACAGTTTTCCTGCAATACTGAGGACTTCTTGAACACTGGCCTTTTTCCTATCGTGGGGCCAATCTGCCTCTAGTACCTTCCGAATCGCGCTTTCCCGTTCCGGTGTAGTTGCAATTCTGCCATCATGCGTGTCTATGATATACCCCAGGGCCTCTATGACCGTGTCCCAGTCAGTGCTCTTTTCCGGGGCGAGAATGGGGGTTTCTCCGACTTCTCCCTTGCCAAACAGTCTGACACGGTCTGACGCTATCGAGGCGGAAGCAATGAGTGCCGATTGGTCAGTGGGGTCATGCTGGACCTTCGTGAGCAAGAAATCGTCAACGTAGACCCTGGCCAAGAAATCGCCCGCGGGTCCTCCACCTCTATGCGGTCTAACGCCTGCCGACGAGGGTA